TCTTTCCCTTTTTGTTTGAGTTTTGGAACATTCCTGCACTGGGAGAGATGAAGGCTCAGAATGTGCTTGCTTTAGATCACTGTTATGTTCTGTGGAAATATCTGCTTCTTGAAAAGGTGGTGAGTTTTTCTCTGAAGTTACTATTTCTTCATGTGTTACTTCCTTGATGTCAACAGGACTATTGGCCTTCTCTATTTTTGAAGTTTGAGAAGGCTTTGAACTGCTTCCTGACTTCTTTGTCCTTGCCATGTAAGTCATATTTTCTTCTGGAACTTTGCTTTTCCTTTCCTTTCTGGTAACCCTTTTATGTGTCCAACTCCATGGTTTGGTTTGAACGCCATGTGGGATGCCATATTTGCAAAGATCATGGCAGGAAGCTTTTGGAGCACTAAGATAACGAGAAAGAATCTTAGGAGGAACTTTTGTGATGGTTAATCCCTCATTAGGATTTGCTTTCTCATTAGCATCTTCAGGCTCAATTTTCTCAGACTTCATCTGGTTAGTAGTACTTTCCTCTGCCATCACTTTGATCAAGGAGAATCAACGATTTCAAAGATTCCTGCAATAGATAAGAATCGTTTCAGAGATGCAGAAGGAAGGGTAAATGAAGGGGAGTATGCCGGTCAAAGCAACATGAAATATGTACAACTTTTTTCCACAATCTAGTTCATAATTGGAATGGTGCAAAGCTTCTAATTTCAAAACCTTAGGGATGGTTATCTTGACATATTGATGTTGACTCTACTTGTTCAATGACATGAAAACATTGCAAAGAGTAGATTTAAAAACTTGGATGTGCACCAAATAACTATAATTAGATCCACAAGATTAAGCCTTGGTCTCTAACCAGGTAGAATGATCGGAAATAATTAAAAACTATGCAATGAGGTGCATTACTTCACACAAGATAGGGAATGACATTGGTTGGCTCATTTTGTAAAGTGCTCTGAATTGATTAAATTTATGAAACAAAACAAGGAAGTGAAACAATCTTGAAGGATATCCCAGAATTACCAGGAGATAGACAATAACATCGATACATAGTTTTTCATCAATTACTGCTTTTGTCCATCATTTAATTCCATGATTAGGAAACTGCAGACAATTTAATATTCGTAGTTCAGTAACAAATTTTGCACCGTAGAAGCTTGTGAAATAAATTTCACCGTTGATACACAACCAATTATAATACTAGTCCAAAGGGGTATATAAAGTTTGAAGGAAAGTCCAAACTAGGACATAGAAGCAATCACAGCAATGCCACACGTTTTGGTTTCCATGAATACGCCACCAATAATGAATTTAAAAGGAAGAAAAATCCAGGGGTGCTACAAAAGCAGAACCGTACTTACATTACAATTGATTCAGATTTCAGACCAAAAATAAAACATCAGAACAGAACCTCGTGGATGGTGAACATTAGAAGGAAAAAAGAAATTAAATTAGAAACTGAACAAAATTATCTGAGAGACACATTAAACCCAATTAATTCTCTTAACCATTATGGTTATGATCAGAGCACAAGAGAGAATATAATATAATCCCTTGAAACGTAGAATCCTACGGCATTCAAGACATGATTGTGAGTGAGATGGCATTTGTCATTCATCATCATAGCATTCATTAAACGAGGAGATTAAGAAAAAACAAATAAACAAAACAGACACCCCGTGTTTTTAATCATTGTGAACATAGGAAAACAGAAAACAAGTGGCCAAAAGAGAATGCATGGTTGCATACCTTGTTTTTAATGATCTGTGAGATTAATCTTAAAAGGAAAGCAAGGAAGAAAGAAGGTAAGAAAGGTGTAGTCCAAAATTGTGATTTGAGTCAGGAAAGGTTGGATGCAAACTCAAAAGGGTGGTGTTGGATGAGGTGGCGTTTCTGCGAACCAAACCAATGCGCGTTTGTTGCGAGAAAGTAACCTCGAAAGAGAAAGAGAGAGTCCCACCACCACGAATAACACTCTGTCAACCAAGCCACCCTAACCATGCAATATCATTACATTAAGAAGGCACGTCAACATCCATCACCATTATCCTTACCCTTTCCTTTCTATTTAAACACATTCTATTAAACGCCTCCAAGTACATATCTACGTGCATCTTCATTTTAATACTTTTTTTATAAATCACATTAAATTCATCTTTTCATAACTATTCATGTCCATAACAAGGACGCTATTATATTATAAAGAGTAGCATATAACTTTTTTTTTTTTCTTTTTATTTCTTTTATATATATAATAGTGAGGAAGAAGTCCATTGAGCTACTGGTGCAGCGTGCCAAGGTTGGAGAAGAAAGGTTACATCCACCTATAAACACTTCAACACTTAATATAATTTAGACACATAGTGTCTCTCTTTCCACTAGTAATCATAAAGAATGTTTATGATTGTATTTAAATTATATCCAGCATATTGAATTATGAACATGATATAATATAATGACAATTGTTTTTAATATTTTTTTTTTATCAATAATTGTTTTTAATATGATTCTGTTTAGCTATTTCCCCTTTTATGTAAGAGCGTGTTTATTGATTGCACTCGGTAGTGTGTTGTGATGGAAAATAACTAACGTAAATTAATTCCATCTTGGAATGTATGAGATAGAAAGAGATGAATGGAAAGAAGAAAAAAACAAAGAAGAGAAAAAAATGATATGATGATATTATGAGAAAAAACAGTGATAGAAAAAAAAAATGAAAATAAGATTAAAAAGAAGTAAACCTGTCTCGAGGTGAAAGGGTGTCTCCTGCTTAGCTCCTTTATTTCTATGTCTCCATCTCAAGTATTTGGTTACCGGGTGCTCTAAGAATTGGGACACCTACAAAGGACACTAATTAAGGGTTGGTTCAAAGCATAAAATGTGAGTAATAAATGAGTGGACAGTGAATAAATGAACAGGTTCTATCTTTAGATTTGTGTTCCTATTTATACATATACCTTAACGAGGCTTTGAACCTATGGGCTTCGAGTATAATTAGCAACTAGGTAATTTTTCTCGATTATTGCCTTCCTTCACCATATTTGGTTTGATCATGCGAGTGGGTGTTTTGTTGTGATCCTACTTTAGTCAATATTAACCACCTCAGCTTCCTAATAATCTGAATACTGAAAATTAGGTCGATTTCAGGGAAGGAAGTGTAGGCTAAGTGGCTCATGGCATGATATGGATTTTGTTTGTACATCTTTTCCGCATAATGTAATTAGTGTTGTTATAGGGTTATGTTATGCCACTATAATTAACTACCAACAAAAATTGTATATAAATTAGTGTCTGTGTGGACTGTGGAGCTATACACTAATGTCTAATGGGGATATTTAAGTAACTAACTAATAACTATTTATTTAATAAGTTTATTTTAATTAATTTTTTATTTAATTTATTATAATAAAAAAGTTATAAGAATGTCGCAAATAAATTTTGTAACTTTAACTCAACACATGTTTAAATATTACATTGAATTTAAATAAGTTTCATTGAAATTCTTTTTATGTACGTGTGTCCTAAATTTTTAACCATTAACTTGATTAAAAAAATAAAAATAAAATCTTGACATTAATGAATTTAGATTGTCAAAAGTGAATAATGTATTTACTATAGAAATAAAAGTGAGATATTTCAATCATTAATAAAAAATATCAATGAAATATGCAAATTTATGATATATTATGCTTATGCATATGCATATATTAATTACTAACTTTGATTAATGTTTAAATTTGTTTAATTTTTTCCCTAATGCAAAAACTGGAATTCAATTTATATATATATATATATAAAGTGTAATTTATACTTATCCTTAATATGATATACCAAATTAACTCATATGCCTTGTATTAATTTTGCAAAAAATTTAATATAATTCAACCCTGTAAAGTACAATCTTACAATGCTTTAAAAACTAATTGGTTGTTATACTAATTATAAAAAATAAGCAAATTTATTAAATTTACTCATTTTTATGACATAAAATACAATTGTATTGTATTGACAGTGCGAAACCCCTTATAAAATGGGCTTTTTCTTCTCCAATACCTCTCACCACCAAACTCTTCCTTTAAATAGCCTCCCCATTATAACTGAAATTGCAGTTAATTAGCAAATTGAAAAATGAAAATGGAAAATGAATCAACAAAATAAGAGTCTCCAATTTCAGCAATTCCCTCAGCGGTTTCCTTGCACCATTCAATTTTGGAGCAAGCTTGGTTTCCCTGTTAGGCCGGTCTTCTGCTGTGGGCTCTCCTCCAGGTTCTGGGCCTGAATTGTTTTCATCTTGGGCCTATCTTCCAGTCCAAGTGTTCAATTGAACCAAGGCCCGGTCCGTCCATGATCACATGATCTCATCGTTATTTCAACTTACATAAAACCGTACATGAGAACAACTCAAGTTGTCTTCAAAATTCAAAATAGTAAGAGATACTTTGCAGTTCTATCAGATATATCACCAACAAACATTTGTCCAACTCACAACTGCAATTGGCCCTCGTGGTTTCGAATTTAAATCTTCCTTCAGCAAATACAACATAAAAGTGCAGTAGGGTCTAAATACTCTGTTGAGTGTTGGTTATGGAAGAAATATGGTATTCTGAATCGTTGGTGGTGTTCACTTCTCTACTTGCCACTTGCCACTTGCCAGCTGCTCTGCACTGCTACCCTAAATTTCCCTTTAAAATGCATCATGCCTTAATCATCGGATTATTAAATCTTAGTTATATACCTGCCTATCACTTTCATATTCATATACTTACTGTTAAACATATCAAATTGGATTATAAATTAAACTAACTCACAGTTTAATCACATTTCTTTTTTATTTTATAGTAGAGATAAAAATTATAATGAAATTTATAGCATACAAGTCTAGCTTTAAAAAGTGAATGGTTATACAAATATAAAGTGTATATACAATCATAGGTTAAAAGAAATAACGAACGATTAAAATTGTGATAAAAATCATTTATACAATTTTAAAGTTAGGCATAATCATAATCGCTAATTTTCTATGAATTGTATTTTATCTCAACAAATTCGGTCTTGATCATTTTTTTATCAATAAAAATTACACTATCAATTACAAAATTTGAACTTAAAATTTTGTATATATTATTTTAACTCTTCATTATCATATTAATAATTCTAATAATAAATAAATAATTATTTAAACTTTTGAAATTAGAAGATGTTCTCTTAATAGTTTTTGAAATTAAAAAAAATATTAAAAAAAGTTTTGGCGGATGAGGGTACATATGAGCATAGAGAAGTGAAATTTATTTAATGAAGTAATACGTGTCCTCCATTGAAATTAGTAGAGTGTATATTGTTTGTCCATTACGTCCAAACAAAGAAGAGGTGGAGAATAAATCCTGGGATCCATTCCCATTGCAATTAGTCCATGATGGTTTCGGAAACAAGGGTGGAATCCAAGATGGTGTGCGTGATCGGAGCTGGACCATCGGGTCTAGTAGCCGCAAGGGAGCTTGTGAGAGAAGGTCACAAGGTGGTTGTACTCGAGCAGAACCGCGACATTGGAGGCCAATGGCTTTACGACCCTAACGTACAACACGAGGATCCTTTGGGAGCAAACCCTTGGCTCAAGGTGCATAGCAGCATTTACCACTCTTTGAGGCTCATGTCTCCCAGGGAAGTCATGGGTTTCACCGATTTCCCTTTTTTGGTGAAGAAAGGTAGAGACCCCAGGAGGTTCCCTGGCCACAGAGAGCTCCTTCTCTACCTCAAGGACTTTGCTCAGTGGTTCAACTTGGGAGATATCATCAAGTTCAACACCAAGGTCCATTACGTGGGACCCTTCAATTATGGAGCTGGAGCCTCTAGGGAGGATTTGAAGTGGCTTGTCAGAAGCAAGGAGAACAAGGGTGATCATGAGGAGGAACTTGAACAACTCTTTGATGCTGTCGTTGTCGCCACTGGTCATTACTCTAACCCCAGATTGCCCTCCATTCAAGGTACCTACTACCTACCACTCCTTTACTTTCTAACTTTTTTCATTTTTAATTATCTTCTCTCTCTCTTACATGAACTATATACAATTAGGAATGGACACATGGAGAAGAAAACAAATGCATAGTCACATTTACAGGTCTCCACACCCATTTCGCGGAGAGGTACTATATGATCCATTAAATACATAGGAGATGCTTCTACAACTACTTGTGAAACCTTAAGAATGCAAACATATAGCTATAACCCTAAAAGAGATAAATGTTCTTAAGTTTTCGTATTTGAAATCAGCATTAAATAAAGCACTTCACAATGTTACTGAGCATGAGAAATTTTATACAGATTGTGGTGGTGATTGGAAATTCTTTTAGTGGACAAGAAATATCATTGGAACTTGTGAAAGTAGCCAAGGAAGTACACCTCAGTTCAAAAATAGTTGACATTTATGAGGGTTTATCTAAAGTCATATCCAAACACGACAACTTTCACTTCCATCCACAGGTATCACTTCTTAATCTGATTTGTAATCCTAAGAAGAAGATCCAGGGGTTGTTTTTGCTAACCTGCTCACATTATGCAGATAGACACCCTTCAAGAGGATGGGAGTGTCATTTTCACGGATGGTTCCAAAATTATCGCCGACACTATCTTATACTGCACTGGGTAATATCTCATAACACTAGCAAATCAACTTGGCAAAAAATTGATGGAAGACTAAGGGATCCCAAATTTTATCTTCATGTCTTATACTCACTCACTTTTCTCTCTCTCTCTATATATATATATATATATATATATTTTTCTTATTCTTAAATATAAATAAAGTTTTAAAAATATTGAATATTAATATAATATTAATAATAATTATTAATAATACTTAAGATAATTATTTAACTTTTTTAATAATAAAAAAATAGTTAAAAAATAATCACATAAAAATAAAGACTAAAAATAATAGTTTTAATTTTATAAAGATGAAAAATAAAGAAAATTTTTTACAAAAAACTAAAATCAAAATTTATTAATTTTATAGGGACTAAAAACATATTTAAGCCTAAATTTAATTACTTTGATATTATTTAATAATATTTTTAAAAAAATGTCTCTAATTTGATGTATAAGCTTTTGATTACACTATTTCTTTTATCATTTATAGCAAAGATAATTTATAAAAAAAAATATAAGAATAATAAAATTTCATATAAATAACCAATTCTTTTAATACGCATAAAATTAATTATTTTTACTTATAATAAATAATAAAAGAGTCCAGAATAAAAAAAAGTCAAATATTCTAAATTCATCATTGAAAAGGTCAATTTAAAAACAATGGACTTTTGTTTTACAGATTTTAATGAAAGGATTATGTGTATAATGGATCTTAGATTTAAAGATCTTAATAATAGATTATGTGTTTTTATTTAAAAGTTAATTAAAGTTTATTTTAATGCAAACTTTAAAGACTTTTGAAAGTTTCTTTACTAAAAATAAAGAATATTTTTTTAGAAAAATTCTTTAAATTCTTTCTAAAATTGTATCTAGACATACTCTTGGCTGAAAATCCTCATAATTGATGGGATTTAATGGATTATGTGTAGGTACAACTATTCCTTCCCCTTTCTCGACACCAAAGGAATTGTTGTTGTGGATGATAACAGAGTGGGTCCTTTGTATGAACACACTTTCCCCCCAGCACTTGCTCCTTCTCTTTCCTTAGTAGGCATTCCCAAAAGGGTAAATTAATTAGCTTAAATTGGATATGTAATTTTATGTAGAACACTTAATTTTTATTTATTTATTCAGAAGAATATACGATATGTTAGTTGTAATGGAGTATGTATATTTGATAAATATTTGTGTAGTAATCTTGGTTGATGAGTGGTGCAGATTTTGGGGCTCCCTTTCTTTGAGTCCCAAGGAAAATGGATAGCTCAATTGCTTTCTGGGAAAAAAGTTTTGCCATCATATGAGGAAATGATGAAATCCATCGAGGAATTCTATCATTCAAATGAAGTAGCTGGCATTCCTAAACGCCACACCCATGAAATTCAGGGCTTTGAAGTAAGTTTAGTTAGAGGTTGATTTGCTGAAGCATGCAAGGTTAATGACATAATAATATATAACAATTTAGCTCATTTTGCAGTATTGTGATAAATACGGAGAAAATGTAGGATTCCCAAAGTTAGAAGAATGGAGGAAAGAGTTGTGTGTATCAGCCGTAATAAACTTATTTGTCAACTTGGAGACATATCGTGATTCATGGGATGATGATGACAAGGTTCAGGAGGCCCTTCGAAGTCCTTACTTCACTCAACTTGGAGTTGAACTTGAATAACTTTCTCTGTATAACTCTAATAATCAATTAATAATTACTTGTATTTCTATGTTAAAACTTCAATAATCTTTGTCGTGAATATTCTCAATCTTGGTTTGTCCAAGTTTTTGGGCTTATGTTAGTTTGGACGTAATGAAATGTGTCAAAATTCATATAATATTTGAGTTCCAAAGATCCAAACTGTATAAACACCTCACTACACTCCTTATTTCTCATTACTCATCAATAATTTATTTCTCATCTCTTCCTTAATTAGATGTTCAAAGATTTTTTTCTCTCGGTAAGATTCAGATAAAAAGTACAAATCAACAGAATACATATACATGTTATTCAAGGTATATTAATTACAGTTAGGAGTTTCTATAATTTTTGTATTTTTAAAAAATTCAAATATTATAAAACTTTGTGAAATAATAAGAGCATGTTTTATTATGAGAGCATATTATTAAATAGTATATTTTATTATGGGAGATAAGAGAGTTAAATAATAACATTTAAATTATAGATAAAAATAATTAATTATGTAAATTATAAATAAAAATAATCAATGATTAAAAATAAAATTTAATTAAATTTGCTTACTTATAAGATTATTACTATTGACGTCCCATGATTATTACCATCATTATTATATATCTATAGTATGTTGTTGACACTGTCATCATCACCATTATCGTCGTTATTATTATCGCACATACTATTGTCACCCAATACACTATCATCACTTTCACCTTTATTGTTGTTATTATTACTATCATTATTATTAGAAAAAATTCAAGTCTCACATCGATTAGATTAGACAATTAAAATAATATATGAGTGGAGAGTAATCTTTACTTTGCAAGTTGATTTTGTATGATTGAGTTAGGTTCAAATCCATTCTTTTAAAATGATATCAGAGTTATCTTATATCCTTAAAAAGGACCACCTATCCTAGATTCGTTAAAAAAGGGTCACCCATCATTTATCTACGTACCAAGCCTAATAGTACTAGATGTGAGAAAGTATATTGGAAAAAAATCCAAGCCACATTAATTAGAGATTAGACAATTCAAATAGTATATAAGTGGAGAGTAATCCTTATTTTACAAGTTGATTTTGTAAAATTGAGTTAGACTCAAATTTATGAATTAAATTCAAATCCATTATTCTAAGAATTACTATGAAATGATGATGTAAGTGATTGTTGCAACTACAATGACAATGATGATAGTAATGATTGTAATGTTGATAATTATTAAGATAACAACAATAATAATATTATAATTAAGTATCTAAAATCTAAGTTTTAATTTCAATTATTAATTTTTTATCTATAATATAATGATTATTATTTGATTCTTTAACTCTCATAAAATAAAACACGTACGTTTTTATTGAATATGTTATCTCTATATATATATATAATAAATATGGTTCTGTTAATAATTCATTAATTCAACTAATAATTCATTAACTTACGATCTTATTCGAGTTGAGGTTCGGTCTGGTTATAACAAAAGTACCTGTCATGATTGAAATCAATAAACATGTAGAATATTTCCCCCCCTAAAAGTATGATGTATAGACGCGTTTAATTGCATGTTATGCACGTTTAATTTATAGTTATAGTTAATTAGAATAAGTAAAAGAAAATATATTTACCAATTATAGTACCTGTCTGTCCACTAGCTTTTGTTCCCTGAAAAAAATATTGATATGATGTAGCCACTCTACGTTGGTAACTGTCGGCCACTAGACTTGACCCAAACGCAGTAAGGCGTTACCTTTGTTGCCACAAATTTTGTGCTAATCAAAATTCTAAAGAAAAGATTTTGTTTAAAAAGCCAACGAAATTGGTACCGTGGTTGCATTATGCATACGTGTCCATATAACCAGACAAATTAATTAATGCTGCTTTATTTAAAAAGTTCTTTCTAAACTTTTATTTATTTATAAATAAATAAACTTAATTATATAATTATATTTAAGAACATATCAATATATTTTTAACAACTGAAAGCAAATGTTTAAAGATAATTAATGATCATTAAAAAAAAAACATGGAGTTGTGAAAATACCACTTTATTATTCTTAAAATAGATCGATGCCATAGGAAATAATTATACTTTTAATTATACATTATACCAAGTTGTATTTATTCTCTTATATTGAATAATATGAAATAAATCAACATATCAATATATTTTTAACAACTGAAAGCAAATGTTTAAAGATAATTAATGATCATTAAAAAAAAAACATGGAGTTGTGAAAATACCACTTTATTATTCTTAAAATAGATCGATGCCATAGGAAATAATTATACTTTTAATTATACATTATACCAAGTTGTATTTATTCTCTTATATTGAATAATATGAAATAAATCATATATTAGTGTTGTGCCCAAAGTGTGTGGGTATCCTCCAAAGTCCCACATCGAGTAATTTTGAAGAAGGGAATTGGTAGACTACTATTATAAATAAGGGGTGATAGTTTGAGTCTACTCACCACAACAACATTAGTCTTTGGGTGTATTGGGGACTTGGGTAGTTGTGTGTTATGAGAGGGTTTGCAATTTTTTCTTGCAAAAAATTGTGTGAGAGGGTTTGCAATTTTTTCCTTGTAAAAATTGTCTGAGAGGGTTTGTAATTTTATCCTTGTAAAAATTGCAAAATATGAAATAAATCTCTTTATTTAATATATATATATATATATATATATATATATATATATAAAGTTAGTGTAGAAAATGATATCTGAAAAAACTAAAATTAAATATATTCAAGTACGTGTTTTATGTTGGAAAATATGATACATAAAACTATCTAATATAAGGCTAATGGATAATTTATTATTTTTGACTTTTCTTAATTTTGTGTAATTATAACGAGACAATAAAAATAATACTCGTATACCTCACTATAAAAAAAAATAACGAGAATATAATCACCATCACTATCTCACCAAATATGTTGTTTAAAAACTTTTTTTTTTTTTTCGAAAAGGACTTTCTCTAGTGAGGTTTTTTTTTTTAAAAAAAAAAATTGTTAGTTTGATTGGTTTCTAGAGTATGATTGAAATGAATGAAGGTAATGACTTTATGCAAATCTTACTACCTAATTGATGACCATGTACAAAGAACAAATTTTCTCTTTTACTTGGATTGCATCGTAACACATACCCGTTTATATCTTACATAAATGTGTTTCGACATGGAGTAAAACTAATTCTTACTCAAGTTGATTACAGTTTGAGAGTTACAATTCATAATGTACTTTTGTTGTGAGCTTTTGGGTTTGATCTGTGTGATGGTGAATTATGGTCCGTACCGAGTTGTATATGTCGGATATGACAACAAAATGGGGACGGTTGATTAATGTTGTAATTCGACCACGTACGTATTGAATTATTATGCTTCATGGCATGTGAAGCATATAGAAAGTGGAATACATGCAGAAGGCGCGTGAGTGCACACCAATTGGTTTAAAGGTGTGGCAAATTAATGCAAATTACTCACGAATCACGATACATGTCACCTTCATTTCTTCTTGAAGTGGTGTTTAATTTTTAAATACTCTTGGAATCCATAGAAGCAGCCAAGCAGGGGATATCTGCTTTATTCTTTATTGGCACCTGTTTTTTGAAGCATTCATTTTGGTAGATATATTTCCATTTTGTTTCATTTTTCTTGGCGTGTTACAATTGTAATGTGGAGTTTTGAGTTGGGAACAACTTCGTGCTCAATTATTCTCTACTCAAACATTAATTCATTTCATTATAATAGTACCATAGGTATAATAAGATATGGAATTAAAAGTGTAGTGATTAACATAAAATTGTGATATTTTAATTAAAAGATAAGTCACACAATTAATTTTTTTCCTAACAAAATTTAAAATTTATATTTAAGTTAGGATGATTTAACAATCTATTTTTGCAATTTCAAAAGAATAAATTTTATGCTGGATATTAAAGAATGATTTTGCTCTTAAGTTTATTTATTATCTGCTTGCAATTCAACTCAAGAATAACATTTTGGAAGTCAATTTTTAGAGTTTTTTACTCAAATAATATTATTTTAAAAAATATTTACCTAAATAGCAACGATGCAAATTTATTTTCTCAACTAGCACTATCTACTGTTCACGTTTTGGAACGGGCCATTCTGAAATCAAAACGGACCGTTCCGAATTAAAAAATAACACATGGAAAACAAATCAGAACGGGTCGTTCCAATCAAAATTAGCACATAAAAAGTGGAACCAGAACGGCCCGTTTTGCTTTCAGAACGGGCCGTTCTGACCTACAAATAAATTTTTTTTTCGATATCAAATTCCGAAACTCAGAAATTAACATCAAATAATTAAATTTATTGAATATTAACATTATAAATATATCTAAATAAATTTATTAAAATTCAATACAACAATAAAGATCAATGATGACAAAAACTGATTATGTTGTTCTCTAATGTCCATTTCTGTTTTAATCTTTTTTTTAGGTTCGTTCCTGGAGTATCCACCGCCGACAGCAGTGACTAATCTCCTCGCTACGTTGGAGGCACCTCAAAGGGTGGGATAGCTGGCCCCAAGATTTAACGCGGCTGCATACACAAGGCAGGATTCGAACCCCTGACCTTGCTTAAGCGTGGATCAACCCCTACCGTTGAACCACACGCTTGGGGTTAGGTCATATTTTTATTAAAATTTAGAGATTAATTTGAAGAATTATTTAATACTTAACTTACTAGGTAACATATTTAATATATATATATATATATATATATATAATATTTTATTTTAGATGATTTGTTGATTCGATACATGTCCTTTTAAGTTGGGTGATTTTTGTCGTATGAAGGATATATCTATTTATAATAATAGTGTGAATAACTGTACTTATTATATAAATATTAATTAATTGTTTTCTATGCTTATAATATTCACTTCCTTTAAATATTACCATCACACATGCCAATAGTTTCTACTTTCTACTTTCTTTCCTTGTCAATTTATTATGTCAAAATCACATACATGAAATTTAATGTACTATAATTTTCCACCACATTGGAGAATAACTTTTTTTATTTATTACTATAATTTTTTAAATTTAAATTAAATTACTTTGTTAGTTTCTTATTTTATTTAATCAAAACAATTTGCTCTTTTTATTATTAAAAGGTGGAATTT